ATCGGTGAAAGCCATAAAGATACTCACAGAAAGAGGACCAAGCCCAACACCTAAGTATGCTTTGTAAGTGGAAGCCATAATTGCAGCCATCCTCGCCATCCCATGGATAATAGCGACTCTGAGTCTTCTAGATTCCTCATATCTAAACCAATTCAAGAGCATGTTTAGTATCCACCAGAAGCCCAAACTATACAAATTGTGTTTTACCTTTTCAAAGAGGAAACAACATCAACAGGTGTATTAGTTCCAACACTCTGTTTCCATGCTTCTTCAAGCTCCAATGCTAGTTGAAAACTATCCTGCAAATACATCAAGCAATTCCCCTCAATAACACTTTTTCAAATCGTTGAGTGGATTTATATATTAGATAGATACCTCAATGGCCATGCATCCACCTTGACCCATATTTGGCTGCATCGCATGGATAGAATCCCCGAGTAGCGTAACACGCCCTTTACCCCAAGTAAAACTAGGACTTCTATCGTAAATATCTCTTCTCAGAATGGCATCCTCCTCGGTCGCATGCAACAAGTCGAGTACATTGTCGCACCAACCGTCAAATATTTCAAACAATCTTTTCTTCATTCCTGAAAAATCAAATAGAAAAAAGAAGCTTATGTGAATTGATACTAAATGCAATCCATAGAAACAAATCAAACAACGCAAAGATTTACCATTTGGAGCATCGACCCCACCAGCTGGTTCCTCGTGAAATGCATACCATTGCATTTTTCCTCCACCAACATCAGAAGAAACAAAGTACTGTTTATGTCCCAAGAAAACCCGGTAGCTTTAAGAGAGAATGAAACAGTCCCAATATCAGAAAAAAAGATTCATAATCAGAGAAGAGATGCATGAGATTTAGTCTGACTGTAACATACCCAACAGACTCGATATCCGCAGGTACAAAATCTGCGATCCCCGTGTAACAAGTGTAGCCTGAATAAGTAGCTTCACTACGACCAAACAAATTATTTCTCACCTATAAACAACAACAAAAGGCATAATCTTACAGTTCTATCCTCAACAACAAAAGTTATTTGTTATAGTCTATTGAGTTAAAACCTACCTTAGACCAAATGCCATCTGCACCCACAAGCAGATCACCTTCATAGCGTTGACCATTCTCGAGCACCACAGTTACCTAGACCAACAAACCCATACAGCTACATTAGAATCTTTCCTTAAATCAATACTCTCTTTTTAAGTAAAAATCAATCATCACCTTATCTCCAGAATCTTCAAAATCAACAACATTACTCTCGTTTCTAATCACATCTTCTCCAACTGCGCGTGCTAGAATCTGCTGCAGAGTCATTCTACTAATTACTCGAGTCACAGGAAGTCCCCGTGACGCCGCAGGAGTGAAAGTATCAAACTTGACATACCTGATTGATTCACAAACAAAAATATCACCACAAGTTTCCAATAATCTATTACAATCTATAGGCAACAAATTTCTCAATCTATATACCTGACAATGAAATCAAAAGAGTTACTTCACGAGTCCTAAGCAACTAAACACAAGCAAGATAACAACTTCTCAACATTACAGCAGCAAAACATCAAATTACTTAATCCAAGCAGAGTGGTTCACTGATCGAATAACTAAGAGTTGGTTACTCAATCAAGAGAGTTCGTGGAGACTCACCAACTACCAGAGACACCATCAACGAGACCGTTAATCCGATCACCGGTAATACAACCAGCTTCCATAACTTGTTCAGCAACATCAGTATCAATAGCTTCCAAAGCAGCTAAAGCGTTGCTCTGTATTTGAATCGGACCTCTGTATTGTCCTTCTCCTCTTATAGCACTCAAATCTTTTTCAAACACTACCACATCGAATCCTTTCTTCTTGGCAGCTAAAGCAAACACCAAACCTCCGATTCCACCTCCGGCCACTAAAACCCTCGATTTCTTCTTCTTCTCCGTCACCGCCTCTCTCTTCTCCTCCTTCTCAACCAACGCCGTCGCCGCCTTTACTCCGACCAGAGTTTTCCGGCTCCTAAACCCAGATAATCCTCCACCAGATTTTCCGGAAAACGATGATAAATCTAAGTAAAACTGTTTAGCAACGGGACTAACCACATGGGTCCTCGTGAAATCAAGCTTTGATGGAGATGGATTGATCGAATAGCAAAACAGAGTTGAACCCATCTCGATTGTAAAAACTCCGTTTGGAATTCAAAAATCAAGACTTTATCTGTTATGATGACTCTGACTCGAACAAGAGAGGAGAAGAAGAAGAAGAAATGGTTTGAAGAAGAAGGAGGAGGAGAAGACAGGTGGCAACAGGAACGCAACACACTTCATCTCTGAGTGCCTACAAATATCGCCTTCTGATGTTGACATGTCTTTTCTCTCCGCCATTAGAAATTCATTCAATAAACTAATAATTATATTCGTAAATGTTTGGTAAAAATATTTGAATGTGACGTGATTAGAGCTTGCGGTGGATTTTTTTAGGATTGTGTATGGATAAATCATTTTTCAAGTTTTATTTCCTTATCCCCATTTTAGGCCACTAATTTTATTTTTGTTTTCCTTTTTTTGCTTGACGTGTCCCAACTTTTATCTTCCATAATAAAATTAATTCCAAAATTTAATTGTGATATGTCGACGAAATAATATGATTATAATTTTATTTTTCATCATCATATATTCAACTGGTTTTTTTACTAAGCTGCACATTTTAATGGGCCAAAACTAACGGCTCATTTAAAATTACCCAAGCCCATTGAAATGGCCGTGGACAAATAATTATTTTGTCATCTCGTTATAACATAAAAGCCCAAAAGTAGTAGTAGTTAACAAAGCACATCACACAACAGTAGTACTAGAAAGTTAGAAAGCAGATGCATAACTTAGTGTAGTAAAACAAACCCCAGAGCCTAGAGCTCAGAGATGAGAAGGGATCCAGAAAGGAACATAGTTGAGCATTGGTACCCGAGGAGGATTGAAGGAATGGACCGTACCAGAGGCTAGATCGTATGAACAAAGACCATGGCCAATGTAATAGATGGAGTTAGGTTTAAGCCCCGGGTACATGCTTGCCGTGAGACAGAAGGCTTCTACTTCACAAGTGTTAAGAACCTAGGGAAGGCAGAGGTATGACTCTTGGGGATGAGACACATGGCTTGTAGACATCAGTGAGATTTACGGGCAGATCTTTAAACTCCATAGAAGCAACCCATCCTTGCGATGCTCCAACACATGTTTGACCAAGCAGCTTCTTGGGAAACTTCTTCTTGCAGCTAGTCACAACTTGTTCTGTACTAGGGTCGAAAACTCTGTAATTTACTATTTTTCCACCATCCGAAGACTCTCCAAGAATCTTGTCGCTCAAAATGCAACAAGGTGACGATGAGAAGAATCGAGCACTGGCCAATCTGCGTGCCTGTCAAGTTTCCATGGAATGATATTTTATTAGATACATCATCAACATAAACAGTTTTGAATTTGCAAATTTGGTAGCGTGTCTTACAGAGAGATTCGAGAAACGGCTGATAAACAGAGACATTGTCTTCTTCCTTTATCTTGAAGAAAAGAAAACCCTAATCGGCTCACTCCTCTTTCTGAATCCAGAAGAAAAGAAAACCCTAATTCCTCTTCTCTCTTATAGAAAGGCCACATCTGTGGGTTATAGAAAGACCACATCATACCTCGTTGGCTTTGGAAAACTCCCATTTCCCTAAATGCAAGATCCCAAAAATGGAAAATTGTCACATCGATTCTTCCAATCTTCATTGTATTGATGATGGACTTAAGCTCAATGTTGCAGAGGCAAACTTTGACCCCTTTTTGAGCACAACCCAACTTAAGTGCCACGCATTTTTACTCTCGATAAACTTTTAGGCCCTTTCCATCTCTTAAAAGCCCAATTCCACTTTAAGCCCAATAACATGTTTTGATTACACAAACCATCAAACCATATAATAATATATACATTTGCTTATCTAACACAGTTGACAGTCGGAGCAAATTAGTTATCAAATACAAGGTAGTTATTAGATAAGCAAATGTATATACTTTAAAAATATTATTTTTTAAAAGTTTAAGTGTCAAATTTATTTTAAAGTGAAATCATTATTAGTTTTTTTTTAAATAAATTTAAATGTTAAATCTATATTACATGAAAAGATGCCAAACTTCGAATACCAAAACTTACGGACTAACTAGGGGCAGGATGCCTAGGCGAGATTAGTTTTCGACGTGTTTAAAATTTAACACTTAAACTAATTTTTTTAAACAATTAATGAAATTTCATGGTTTTATTCGTAAAGTTTAAGTGTTAAATTGTTTTAAATTTTAGTGAAATTATTATTATTTTTAAAAATTGATTTTAAGTGTTAAATTTATATTACGTGAAAACATAGCCGAACTTCGAACACCAAAGCTATGGACCAACTAATGACAGGATGCTTAGGCGCGGTTAGTTTTCGACGTGTTTAAAATTTAACACTGAAACTAATTTTAAAAAAAATTAATGAAATTTCATGGTTTTATTCTTAAAGTTTAAGTATTAAATAGTTTTTGACAAAAAAATTGTTTTACATTTTAGTGAAATCATTATTATTTTTAAAAAATGAATTTAATTGTTAAATTTATATTACGTGAAAATATTGCCGAACTTCGAACACCAAAGCGCTTACGGACCAACTAAGGACAGGATGCCTAGGCGCGGTTAGTTTTCGACGTGTTTAAAATTTAACACTTTAACTAATTTCCTAAAAAAATTAATGAAATTTCATAGTTTTATTCTTAAAGTTTAAGTGTTAAATTGTTTTAAATTTTAGTGAAAACCATTATTATTTTTAAAAAATGAGTTTAAGTGTTAAATTTATATTACGCGAAAACATTGCCGAACTTCAAACACCAAAGCTTACGGACCAACTAAGGACAGGATGCCTAGGCGCGGTTAGTTTTTGACATGTTTAAAATTGAACACTTAAACTCATTTTTTAAAATTGAACACTTAAACTCATTTTAACACACAAAGAGATACAAAATTTTGCAATTTCCCTTTGAATAAATTGAAAACAGAGTGGCTCTGTTTTTGTGTGTTTACCAAGAAAGAATTGCATTTCTTAAAGGATAATTTTTCTCGGTGTTTTTCATTATGAATTGAAAAGCGTAGTCCAAAGATACAAACAATAACTTAAAACCCTTTTATGTTATGGATACATCTCTATGAATTTGGAAAACACAAGGAGGGGTTAATCTAGTGGCATTCACATAATCTTGAGGTGTATGATTTGAAACACCAGGGACTATAATCCCCATTGCCCTACCACCCTTCAACAACCAACCTTCCCTAAACTCCGATCCCTTCTCAGTCACAATAGTGAAGCTTCTTATAAACTCCAATATAGCAATGTACACCATCTTTATAATCCCACGCAACGAAAAAAAGTTTTCGTCCGATTGCGATTGCTCTCTCAAAACCTATAAGTCACAGAAAATAAATTGACTAGTTCCAATGATAATGAAGTATGAATAGATAGATATATTTACCTTTGGTTGATAGTCTTGGTCGTAGTAGATGCAAGTGCCAAAGTGTTTGAACATCAAATCCTTATCATCGTACGGCAATTTTGGAACAATGTCGTTATTATAAACAAATCTATAATACTTGACATCATATTCTTCTAATTTCTTCTCCATAAAGTCACCAAACTTGGAATCTCCAACCCTAGGTTGTCCATAAGTATACACCCCTTGAATCCTCTCCAATAACTCGGTCTCGTTGTGAATCACAAGCACAGCCGTGAACAATATCGCAAGGGCTCCTCCTAAGCTATGACCGGTCAGAACAAACTTAGTGTTTTTGTTTTGAGCGATCAGAGTTTTCAAAGAGTCTCTGATTGAGTAGTAAGCTAAAGGGGATAATCGATCAGGGTTTGGGAGAGGTTCCTTAGGCCAACTACAATTGTTTTGAAGCCCGAGAGCTTTCATGAAACCACCATGGATCTTCCCAATGTTTGGGAGCTCATACCATGTAATGTCGAAATCTGAACACCAATCCTCGGAATTAAACGGTTCTGTTCCTCTAAATGCAACCACCACCGTCGTTTCTTGACAGTTGGATGGTGTTGATGTTTTATCTGTAGACATTATAAAGGCTTGTGTTGTTTCCTTTTCTTGGTACTCTGCTTTCAAAAAAAAAAAACATTATAAAATTCATTAAATTGAATAAGATTTCTTTTAATATAATCATACCGTTCCAATAGTCAACGAGACCTAAATACTTCATATTCCAATGATTCTCGACGACATTTTTAATACGGGCTGAGTTTTCGTAGGCAATTTTTGAAGCCATAATGGACAATGCAGCATAGTATTTGTCTCCGTCTTCGCGATTCATCGTCTTGTCTAAACTTATTCTCGTGTCTAAATGTCCGATAAATGACTGATAATTCTCTGACGTTGTTTTCGGCACCACTACTTCTCCTACATATATATATATATATATATATATCCATAAATTTAGTATAATTGTATTGATTATTGTCATTAGAGAGGAATTAATGGAAATCATCAAGATCACCTCGGAGAAAGAAACCGGATAAAGAGTTAGCGGAGAGGAAGTTTAAGAGGAATTCTAAGGCGGAGCCAAGGAGAGCTAAAAGCTCGGAGAATAATCGAAGTAGCTTGAGAAGGACGAGAGAGACGAAGATAAGCCATCGACGTCTGAAACTTGGTTCTTTGGTTTCTGAGCTATCGACTGATCTCGGCTTGTCGATATCGCGGGAGAATAACAAACGAAAAAGTTCCCATGGCCGGAGCTCTTCCGGTCGGAGAATTAGATATCCTCTCGGCTCGTTGTCATCGTCGCTGTTGACCATGTTGATTCGATTTTGTGTGAGTGTTATAATATTGTACGAATGCAATTATGTATGTACGTATAATTCTATATATAATGTGATTATTAGAATGGACAGTATTGTAGATTTGGAATATACTTGGAGTTGTGGAAAACGAGATTTGGATTATTTTTTTGCAAAGGTGATCTACACATTTGGTTTTGGAATATGAATGTTTCACGTGAGGTTGATAATCGTAATTTTAGGGAAAAAATTCACTCTGTTTTCCTCTTAAATAAAATAAAAAAATCATCAACGGTAACCTATAATATAGTGGGCCTAAATGTGGGCTGTAAATATAAGCTATGTGGCCCATTGAATAGTGATCTTTCAACCCCAGATTGTTAAATGCATTGTACTGTACTACTGTATCTTCATTTCAGAATGCAGTAATCCTTTGTAGAAAACTAAATCAGATGAATGACATAGTCATAGATAGGTAATAAAGAATATTCGAAAGAAACTAAAGAATCTAGGCTCTCTTTTATGTGGCAATGTGGATTCTAGTAATATGCATTTATATAATTTATATAATATACTGATCACAAATGTAGTATAGTTTTTTTTTTTTTTTCCAGATCTAGTAGTTAGATCTTAGAGTTTTACTCAACGGATCGCAAATATCATCTGAAAAGAAAAATCGTGTTCAAACTAACATCTTTTGTTTCTGCCAACTTAAAACTAACAAATGTTAGTGTAACTTAGGGATCAACTTTAAAAAAAAATTACAGTGTAAATTAGTAATTTGCATTAGTGTTGTGCCTTTGTATAGCTACTTTTTTTTTTTTTTTTCGACAAAATCAGATTTCATTAATCTATATACGAAAGGAGGAAATATTCTAATATCCATATCATCAAAATGAAAACATTATCTTATATCATATTTTTGTTTGTCATATGTCGTGTGAGGTGCACCGGAAAATTATAAATGAGTACATTTAACATAGCACAAGAGATGTAGATGCGATGCGAGTAGTCAAAGAATGCACCAAAATACCAAAAATCAACAAAAACCAAAAAGAATAGAAAGAGGAATAAGATAAATAAAATTGGGATCTGCATTCCCAACACCTACCCATTTTAAAAGCTTACTATTTTATATTCAACCAAATCAAAATCTTTATCAACGCACCTATTTGCTTGTCCCCATTCTTTCCCGAATTTTCCTACTTTTTTTCTTTTCAAATTACTTAAATGACTACATCTACATTTTCCTTTTAGGACGTTTCTACCTTCTAAGTTCTAGATTTTGACTTTTTTAACATATAATTTTTTATTTTTTTTGAAGAAAGGCTAAAGTACAATTTGATCCCATATTTGAATTGCATAATTTATTTTTACATGCACTTGATATAAAAATTATATGTATAGATTACAATAACACCAATAATAACAAAGAAGAGTGCATGAACTTTATCCTGTCACGGAGAACATGAGAATTTATCCTGGAAAAAAAATGAGAAAGAGAAGAGGAAGGAGGGAAAAGGCATTAAGAAAAGATAATACAAGAAAGTAAAAAAAAAATCAAAATTTCTTCAATATTTCAAGAAAAACAAAAGAATATATTAAAAAGGAGGAAGATGATAGAAATGTGTCAGAAGAATACAGAGCACTTGCCCAAGAAGATATTATAAGAAAATGTCTATATAAATCTAATCTTAAGGATATTGTAATGATCAGAGACTCTCTGTGGTGATGTTGGGACCTTTGCGGGATATCTCACGTGGGACGATTTTTTATTCAATCACCAAACAACAATGTAATATTCTATGAGTGAATACTTTATTTTGTTTACTAGATTGTGTGAAAATAATTGGATTGATTTATTTTGCCGATAATTGGATTAATTTAATTTAATTATTAATATAAAGTGGGTTGTTAGTGGAGCAACAAGTATAGATGATGCTTGGGACATGAACACGATTCTATTGCTACCTTGCCTTGGGAGGCAGCCTATCTCAACTTTGGTACATTACACATTAAAAAAAAAAAAACAAATAAAATATGCTATTTGTTTCCGGTATTCAAATTTGGTTGTATATTTGTTACAGAAATAAATAAAAAAAAGTTGGTTATCTAATATACTAAGTGCTCGCCTCATTGATGTATTACCACTCGGATTTAAATTCCACGTAATGTATGTTATTGACCCAAAAAATATAAAAATAACCAAATTCGGATATGTATGTTATATATACACTAAGTATGTTATATATACTTAGTGTTTACCTATATCATTGTGTTAAAAAGGTATTATTAGGATATGTGTTTCGATGTATTTGGAGTCCTCAACAGTAAATAGTAGTTGTCAATGATTATAAACAACGACGTTTTCCGAACAGTCGAATATCAAAATGTTCAAAATTATCTACTCATTTCCAATTGGATATGATTAGTTACAACGCGATCATTTACCGATTCCGTAACCATTTGCATCGAATATAAATCGATCAATATCAGAATTTATCAACATACAATGGACTAAGAGAAAGCTTGGCCACTACCATGCAAAGGTTAACCAATCATATTCATATCTTTTAGACATGTCTTTGTATATATGTCTGTGGTCCTTCTGAAGTTTTTATTTATTTATTTATTTACTCATCCTTTGTTCCCACTGTGCTGTCACATAGATTCTTCACAGATCTTTCGAGAGAGAAAAAAAGGGAACAACAAACCGAAGGTCATAATAAAGTCCCAAGACTCTATGAAACAAAGTTGTGAAAAAATTCCGATCAGTAATAATCGAAATGGACCCGTATTTTATCTTCTCGTTTTTGAATTCCAAAGTTTATAGACTATATATATACCTTGGATTTTTACTTACTTATTAATAGTCGATTATTATTACAAAGTGTTTCTAATTCGAAATGATACAAGTTATAATCAAACACATAGCAACAATATGAAAATAGCTATATTGGTACCCATATTATTACTATTAAATGTGACGATAAGTGAAGACAGTTTCACAAAAGATGAGTATTAATTGTAGTGAGTAGGGCAAAAGTGAAAAAGTGGACTAAAACCGGTTTCTTGATTGAGAGAGTGAGGGCAGTGAAACGTCAACGTTTTTCGTGAGATTTTGCATGTTTTGGTGTCAACATAGGAGGGTAAAACAAAGATCGAAGCACTTGCTTTGTCTGCCTGTTTTCATCTAATCATGGGGAAGAACCATCTATATAAAAAGAAAATCAGAGTTATATGTAAATAAACTAGAAAACAAAAACCAGTCTTAAATGTGATTTTGTACAAATAAAGTGAGACAGATCTTGAAAGAACAGTGCGAGCTTGTGGTGTCTTTTGGATTTTGTGTATTTTTAAGGTAAGAATCATTTATTGTCATTTGCTTAAATTAATTAGGATGCTGCTTCTTGTTTACAGTACATGTTTAGTTTGTTTCCATATCATTATTAATTAGTTACAGAGTGCCATTTAAATATTCAAACGATCATCTGATCACGGATCATATCCACCTTAAATGATACTATATCATATACTAATACGTACTTACGTGGTTTCTCAACATAAAATTATATCTCCCAGATGATAAAAACTTCTGAAAATAAGAAATGATCACTATTTTTTGTTTCTATAGCCATTTGCAAATTAGTTGTAAGAAGCAAAAAAATCTCCACTTTGCTGGGAATGATATCGGGTTGTCAGATGCAGCAGATGATGATTCTTCAGTTTTCGATTTCATCATAAAATGCTTTGGTTAAAAAAACAATTTACAAACAAAAAAAAAAGTTGACAATTTTCATAAGAACTGAAAAGCATCTTCGCCAGAAGGAAAGTCAGTGGCGGTAAGCAACAAAAGTATTTAATAAAATCTACTATATGAAAAAAAAAAAAACATAATTCGAAATTTTAAGAAAGTGAGAAAAAAATACAATAAAATAAAATAAAAGAAGGAATGAAGTCGTTCTCAGATCGGCTTTGAGAAGCGTGCCATACGCTAAGTTTCGATGTCAATTCCGATTAATCATCCTCAATTATTTCTTATCTATATACGTTTGTTCATCCACCATTTGTTATATACACACACACGCAAGTATTAATATACTAACCGTTCTCGTTATGAGTCGGAATTAATGTGTTAATTTAAATCTAACCAGAAATTTTTTACAGAATAAAATACTGCTCCCTGGATTCTGACATATCTCATGTGGATGTGGGGTAATCTTATACTAAATCATAGGCCTCTCTCTCTCTCTCCTATTATAATATTTTGGTTAAGTAACCAGTTTTCTTGGATTGAAATGAAGAAACACTTTTGTTAATTAATACTACAAAACCAGTGGATAATCTTATACTCCAGCAGTCCAGCTAATATATGAAACCTAAATCATGACGGTTTTCGCGTACACTTTTGCTAATGAGGGCTAAAGTTTTGATTATGGAATGAATAAAATAATAATGGTGGAAAAAATGGCAAACTCGTTGTTGTGCTTGTGAGACCGGTTCATGCACCTTGCTTTGTCGCGTAACGCGTTATGCCTACCCTTTTTTTTTTTGGTTTAAAGTTATGCCTTTTGCGAGCAGTGGGTACCAATAGATGTAAGCCACGTGTTTACAACGGACATGATCTGGACGGTCGATAATGCGATCAAAGAACCATATGGTCAATCCTTGCGTGAATCGACGGTCACTATCGATCCTCATAAATGGAACCATTTTTCTTACTTCTTTTAGCCTTTTTTACTTGTTTATATTTTTGGATCCAAGTTATCTTACGCAATAATTATACTTATAGTAACTCCTATACTTTGCCCAAAAAAAAAAAAGAAAAGTAACTCCTATACATGTACACACTTTTTCATAGGCCTCTATTAGCATCCGAACAAAATCTTTGCGATCTGTAGCTCGTTTTATATGTAAATATTTTATTGCTATATATTAATGATTTGTTTTATAAAATGTTTAGGAATTTTACAAGTTAAAAGATGAGGAATAAAATCCACCTCAATATTTTACTTGGCTAGTTATATAACCTATAGGTCCTATACTAGTTGATAACTTGATATATGATATTACATTAGTAACTTTGTCCGAATGCATGTGGAATTTGCACTTAGACAAGAAGACAAAATTTTGGCATTGAATATATACATATACATATATGCCCATAAATGTGAGAGTTGAAAATGGGAAGAAATTCCTTTTTATTATATATATGTAGTATAAGTTAAAGAAGATGGATGGGCCATAAGTTGCTATATAAATCCTTCCACTTCTTGTTGATACTATTGCTTGAGTTCTGATTGGGCACAGTAGTACCATTGCCATTTCTCTCACACATACCATCTCTTTCTCTCATCATCAATCATCAATCATCCAAAAGAAAAACCCTAAAATTTCACTTGTAAGCTTTTTACCAGTTTCTCTCCATACCCATTTCATCAGCTTCTCCATATCTTTCTCTATGGATTCTGACATAATGAACATGATGATGCATCAGATGGAGAAGCTTCCTGAATTCTGTAACCCTAATTCCTCTTTCTTCTCTCCCGACCACAACAACAACAACAACAACACTCACCCTTTTCTCTTTAACTCAACTCATTACCACTCCGATCAGGCAATGACCAACGAACCAGGTTTCCGGTACGGTTCCGGTTTACTCACTAACCATTCTTCTATCTTCCCCAACACAGCCTACTCTTCCGTTTTGCTTGACAAAAGAAACAACACTAGCAACAACAATAATAGCACGAACATGGCAGCTATGCGAGAGATGATCTTTCGCATCGCCGTGATGCAACCGATACATATAGATCCCGAGGCGGTTAAGCCACCGAAGAGGAGGAACGTCAGGATCTCTAAAGATCCACAGAGCGTGGCGGCTAGGCATAGAAGGGAGAGGATAAGCGAGAGGATTCGGATTTTGCAACGGCTTGTTCCTGGTGGGACGAAGATGGATACAGCTTCGATGCTCGACGAAGCTATTCATTATGTGAAGTTTTTGAAGAAACAGGTGCAGTCACTGGAGGAGCAGGCGGTGGTTAATGGCGGAGGAGGAAGGGTTTTGATCGGTGGAGGTGGAATGACGGCGGCGAGTGGTGGTGGTGGCGGCGGAGGAGTGGTTATGAAAGGGTGTGGAACAGTGGGGACTCATCAGATGGTGGGCAATGCACAGATTCTTAGATGATGATGATTTTTAATTTTATTATTATTATATTAATGTTTGAGAAAAGAAAAAAATGATTCTGGAGAGGGAAGAATTAATTTATATGAGAGTCTTTTAACTTTTTTTTTTTAATTTTCTTGTTTAGATAATGTATGTGATGGTTTTTAAAGCCAAAGACTCTCCATGGTTGTTGGAGCGACGTTGTAAATTAGGAACTATTATCATCGTATCCTTGTTAATCAAATAATTAAGCTTCAGGCTTGTGTTCACTTTTTCTTTGTCTAAAACTAAATCTCGCGCGTTTTCAACATGCTAATATCCCTACTTTTGTTTCTTAAATTGAAATTTTCAGTTCAAAAATTGAATGTACTCTTATACTTGTACTTGATAATATAACTAACAAAAAAACACTAAAAGTCCTTGATTTTTTTTTCTTTTCAATTGCTAATATTTAATTTGATAGATTTGAAGAATAAATTAGCACCATCATTAAATGATCAATAATAATAAAAATTATATAAAAATAATTACTAAATTTATTTTTTACTTAAAACAAAATCTTACAACAAATTTTGGTCTAAACAACAATTTACATTAATTAAGATGCGAAAAAAAAAAAAAAAAAAAAAAAAAAAAAAAAGATGCGATAAAACAAATATTTACAAATTTCAACTGGGCCTTGGCTTTTTGTGGACATTCAGGATTGGTCTTTTTTTCTCATTGTTTTCACGATTAAGCTATATTCAGGAACCATCCGAAAGAATTTTAAAACACAACCAAGCCTATTTTGATGAAGCCGACCCAATGAAAGCCCGGCCCATTAATCTCTCATTAAATCAGGCCAATGATCCAAGGGCTCACAACCAATCATTCTCAATTCTCTTATCCTGCACCGTGTCCCACCAGATCACTCATCGTCACACTCACACACCAAAAAAAAGCACAAAGCTCGAGGAGGTCCATAAATGGCGCATTGAATTAGAACCCTCAAAATCTTCACAACTGTAAAACCCCAATCACCTCTTTACATGTGACTTCCTTATTTCTCTCTTCTTCTTATTTGCTTCTGCGCTCTCGTTTCCTCCAACAATCTCCATGGCAGCTCCGTCTCTCAATCTCATCCTCATTCTCTCTCTACTCGTCTTCATTTCACTCCCGAGATCTGAATCTCTCTCCGATAATCCATCTCTCGTTCTTCTACCCGACGGATTCGACTGGCCGATCTCTCACTCCGACGAATTCGACATCATCGACGGTGAAGAAAGCTTCGAAGTTGCGGAGGAAGACGACGGCGTAGATCGACGGTCACTGTACTGGCGGAGGACGAAGTATTACATATCGTACGGTGCATTGTCGGCGAATCGAGTGCCGTGTCCTCCCAGATCTGGAAGATCGTACTACACTCATAACTGCTTCAGAGCTAGAGGTCCCGTTCATCCGTACAGCCGAGGCTGCTCGTCGATCACTCGATGCCGGAGATAGAAGAAGAAGAAGAAGAAGAAAGCTTGAAACTTCATGGGCATTTTCGTAATTTCGCCAACCAATGGATTAGTGTTGAGATGTTTGTGTTTGTTAATGTTCCATGTTATTTGTAAACCGTGATTAGTTACGTTCGTTAAACTTAAACCCGGTGATTATTATTTCGAGTTCTTGCTATAGAATTGGTAACTACTTAAGAGTCGTGAGGGGTGGATTGGTAATTTGCTACGGATCCTTGTGGGTTTTTTGTCGGTGGCTTTTTAATTATTTGTTTGTACTGTTTATGAATTTAAATCCGGGGTCACATGTATTTGGACTTATTTGAATTTCATCATGTTCCAATTTCCATATCATCTGACCAAATTCAATCTAAATATGGGTCGACCGTTGTTTTTGATTAGTTATTGGGCCTTTGTTGTCATTGTATCGTTATTGTTGGGCTCTTACTTTGGCCCAATTTAGGAATTGGGGTCTAGGTCATGTACCTATATCTGTATGAGAACAAAACAAAACAAACGCAATTCAGTTAGAAAATGTCTATACCAAAAAAACAAAAGCAATACATGAGTTAGGCTACTGTCTTTATAATCATGCTAAATAGAATGTTAAGTTTTATGCACATATATAAAACTCTACAATATATATATATATATATATATATATATATATATATATATATATATCTCTATATTATTAAAAGAGAAGTACAAATGTAAATGGGTCGGATCAAAATCATAAAATTGACCCGAAATTCTGAAATCGGATCTTTGAAAATTTTTTGGAATATAAATTCGAATTAATAATGAAAAATCGAACTACTATCAAATGTTTATGGAAATCAAATAAAATTTGATTGTACTTATGGTAACCAATTATAAAATCATATTCCGAACAATATTATACATTAATTACGTATAATATATTAGTTCATATACTTTTAGAACTAATTCCATAACAATCAACTTTTTTCTCATTAATTTTGCTTATTTTAGCTGGTTATCATTAATTAAAAGATATCTTACTTGCTTTTAGAGATTTCTAGAAAATTTATCACAACTAACCCATCTATTTTATAAATTAAATAGATATTTTTATTTTGGTCGTGTAAATTAAATAGATATGAAATCTATGTAACTAATTTTAATTTAATTAGATTAAATCGAAATTATGGTATTTTCATACTTATAGCTTACCAAAGAATTTTAATTTTCAAATTATAAAGATTTCTTGAATATGATTTTTAGAATTATTCAACAATATGATAAATATTTATTAAATTTTGTGAATCATGAAAAATATTAATTATTTTTTAATCACTATATTTCACCTTTCAATCTCTCATCTAACAAATAAGATACATATTCTATTATTCCTATGTCCAAACTCCATTGTGTTGTATGACTAAATAATATTTCCATAAGAGCTGTCAAAACGAGTTGATTCGTCCCGTTAATCCTGTTTTGCAATAGGCAAAATATATTTTGGCATGTAGTTAGTCTGTCCGGACGCCCTGCGGGTAGCATATATGAAACACAAACCCGTCGCGCGAATGTATGCTGATTTGCGGAGTTATTCGTGGATTTTGTTTAAATAATTTTAGAGTAACAAAAATTTAAAATTCTACTAAAATAAATAAATTAAAAAAAATTAGAGAAAATAATTTTATATATCATTATATTTATAAATATTATAATTTCATTTATTAAAAATTTTTTGAACTACCACATGTTGAATAAATTATATTTTTATCAATAAATACTTTCATGCGGGTTGATCCGCCAATCCGAAGACCAAAACCGATGATCCACTGCGAATCAATCCATGTAGCCCGCTTATTTGCGGGTTTAATATATATTCCCAAATCTGCCCTATAGTGAGATGATTTGGGCTTGACCCGCTGTTTTTGACCTATTTTGACTGCTTTAATTCCCATGATTAATAATTTTTGAATTCTAAAATACAAAATTCCATTTTGTAAATCATAATTAATATGACTGGTTTAATTATGAATAATTTAATATTTTCTTTACAATTTTGTATTAGGAATATTTATAAGTACACTACACGATTCGTTCTACTGAACACATACACAATATTAAAATCAACGTATGTGAATCAATATTCTTTCGCGGTGGACCGCGGGTCCGATCGTAGTAATTATATATAGGAGGTTGCATATAAGCTTCAATGTGAAATCACAATCGAAAGTTCTCAAACACGTCGGTGGAGGTGTGATTGCAGGAAAAAAAGTCATATTCATATAACATATGTTAACACTTAGTTCTACCACGTGTTAATATGCAGAAAAAAATCGTTTTCAAGCTTCCAGATACTTAATTTTGTAACCTAATAAATATACCGTATATCATAAAACATGCACGTGTACTAAAAAGCTCATCTTATCGTGAATAGTCAAGAGATGGCTTGTGCCTTTTCTTACAAAATTTCAAACATGGAAGAAAAGTTTTAAACGACTTGTATTTGGTATGTTTTAGGATGACCTTTGACCCACCTTGATAGTTCAAATCATAAGAAACATGTTTAAATTGAAATGCATGAACTTGCGTTTGGCGGCTGATTATGCGTTTGGTTTAAGATGACCAAAATTTTAATTTAATAAAGAGACTAATCGTCCTTGTCCTAAAAGATATATATTTTAGTTTGACTTTTAGTATATACGTAGAAACAAAAACTAAAGATTATGCAATGATAAAGGGTGTGATATGACGTTGCCCTCTCCCTAATTCAGAGGGGTCAATCTAAATTCCATATTACAAGGAATATTCCAAAATTTTGGATTGTGGATATCTTCAAAGGACCCCTATTGACTTACCTACAAGGGTTAAATCCACTTGGACGTTGAAGTTGAATTCGAACGTGGAACAAACCAACTATTTTGATTCAACTTTAAAATAGAGTCGTGTATGACCCCAACCTATATATACTGTTTTATTTTGTATCTTCTACTATACTACTATACATACTTCCACTATAGTAGAAGATAAAGTTATTTTCGTGGTACCACACCATATTAAAAAGATCTCGAAATTTGACGTGATCTTCATGTATAGGAAGATGCCTCGGAAACTATTGAAAACCTACAACTATAACTTTATAAAATTTACATAAAATTAAGTAGTTGTTAAGAGGGCTGATTAAACCATAAGAAATCAAAATTATTGATGGAAATCTCTAAGAAATGAACTGTGGGCCGCCATATTTTTCTACTAAATGACATCATTCCCAAATTTATTTATAATAATAGTATAAAAAGCTACCCAAAAAATAGGATAGCATTAGCAAGTCGCCTGCTCCTTTTCCTCGGATTCAGTGAATACTCCAAGTCGCCTGGGCGGTGTTGGTTCATCATATCCATTTTACATTCACATTTCTCTGTGTTTCCAATAGTATATATACAAAAAAGGGAATCCTTTACATTGATAAAGATTCTTTTATTTAATAGCCAAAGCAAGTTGTAGTAGACATGCTCGTAGAGATCGCAACTCCACCCAATCTAATGGCTATGGATCACGTCCATGTGACGCTTTTTTACAATATATAAATAGTCGGAGTATATGATTGGTTCATATGGACGCTTAATGAAGTTCCACTTAATTTTCCCACTTAATTTTGAAAGTTCCACTTCTACAGATTCTAAATAAATGAAGCATGTGATGGTAATTAACGCTGTTACTACTTCAATTTATTTCACAAAACAATCTTCCTTTTTTTCCTTCAACTTGTCTTCGTCTCGATCTTCGTTAGGCTCCGTTACATCGCCACCAATGATCTTTTTTTTTTTTGTTCTTATAACAAAAATATCGCAGAGAATAAGTATATTTAAATCTCATATAGTATTATTGTTTATGTATTGAAAATAGAATAAAAATCAGAGCGGCCGCAACTTGCGAAAGTCTGTTGGGGTCGAATGACTTCAGTGCGAAGCACCCCCTTCCACTCCCGCGCTTTTCTTGGCCATTCTTAAAATGTTAATTTAATTGTCACCAGACTCACCACACATGGAAATGAAAAAAAAAATTATAAATTTAAAATTAAAGTATAAAATCGATTTAATGTTTTTTTATTTTAATGATTCAATGAAGTCATGCCCATAGGAATCCAGGCTTGGGCAGGCAAGTTGGCCATGAAGTAAACTACATAAAAACAATATAATAATAGTAGATAATTTGATTAATCAAATAAAAAATATGATTGGAAGAGTTGTCGGATAAAGTTCTCTTTTATTTTCTCCTTTTCTTTTGTCGAAGCATCGAAATCAGTTGCGTTACTATTGGAAATGGTAACTTTAAAACATTAAAGTAAAACTATAGAGCTCACATGCCAAGGTTTGGATACTAAATTACTACTATTGTATTAAAAATGTTATAATCAGTAGTCGTAAGCAAACATCTTAACAGGGTATAACTGTATTTTTCAACTAGTATTGTCTAATAACTGTATTTTTCAACTACTGTCTAAATTAACTTTTTTAATTAATAGAACTAATTAAACAAATTAAAATTAAAATCCCACTTCGCTGTTTATCGCAGTTGGTGCCCTAGTAAGTTATTAATTTATTTTAGAGCTAACTATTATAATTAGCAAACGATACTGTAATTGGGAAGGATAACGGCGGAAAATATCAGAAAAGAAAAAAAAAATGTTAGCGTTTGCAGCGGAAAAGGATTTGATTCTTGGGGTTGGTCAAGAGAAACAAAAAAATATGCAACGCCAACTTGCTTGGTATAGTTTTATATTATTATCAATGGTCCAAAGAATCACATATCTACTTTATTTAGTAAAATATATATATTCGTTGTAGAATGGTCATGATTTACAGAGTCACAAATTGCAATAGTAGTTTCTTTCTAATAAAAATAGTTTTTGAAACCTTTTTTGATCATGAAGTCTTGTAAGAAAGAAAAAAAACAGAAACACTACTAAGTAATTTCCATAAAATATTGTAAAATCATGTTATGTGTGTATATGATGAGCTCAGGACTTAATTAGAGAATTACTAATAGTGTGATTTATTATAAGGGTCAGGGACAGCTACGAAGGAGTGGCAAATGCGAGGATGATTCTATTCTATGCCAATTCACACAACATATGCAAAGAAGAGAGTCCAGAGCAGAGGCCAAGAAAAGAATATTATCTCTATACAATCTAATTTATTTTTAGTTTTTATTTATTTATTGTTGTTAATTACAGCTACAATAATCGGGAAAATGTGAATACTTAAAAATTAAAATACATTTTCTCTTCATGTATACACATGCATGTAAGAGTGTTTATTTCTTATTTTATTTGATTGTTTTATTGCAATTTTTTTTAAAAAATCTATAGTG